TCTGTGAGGATCAAACTCACTATTCAATGATAATTGATATTTTTGAATGCATTTTCCAATAGTCATTTAAACATAGTTTTTTTTCTAATTGGTATCACCCCAAGCAAGGCAGTACAGCCACTGAGATACAAGGGGTTACAGGATGTGGAAGAATTAGAAACAGAAACATTAATAATGAGTAGAAAGCATAGTCAGGAGGGCAGTAGATTGCATTTAAAGTTTTGCAGATTAAAGCTGGCTAGAAAGCATGGACCCGGAAGGGAGTTCCACAAGTGAGAAGTGCAAGAAAAGAAACTGTTAGCATAGAAGTTATGGCTACATCTAGCTAGCTCAACTATAAAATAAGATCTTGCCACCAGTCCGGTATTGTATGTAATTTATACAGTCCAGGTACCATAGTGAAGAGCTCGTCTGAACAACATGAAAATATTTATAAAAAAGGCACAGAGGCAACCTTATGGTTGATGGGCAAGTGCAAGCTGCCACACCAAGACTTAGCGCTGATTTTTCTTTAGCTCTTATCAAAGAGCTCCAGGTTAATAGCAACTTGGACATTTTGTAAGTGTTAATTATAATACTAGTGCTTTCTAATCAAATGTATCATATATATGTCATATGTAGTTCAACCCCTGAATTTTAACCCCCTCCACAAAAATTTACCTATGTATAGTGCAACTGGTCACTGAAAATACATGATTTTCAACTTCTTCAAAAGATTGTATAGTGCAAACCCCTTATTTGTGTAAAAAAAAAAACTTGCACTATACATGAGCATATGCAGTAATTCCTCCTCCCATTACTCATGCCAAAATATGCTGTGTTACTATATATGATTGAAAAACATACTGATGTATATTGAAGGAAAGGAATAGAGAGAGAGAGAGAGTATAAGCAAGAGGAGAAATAACCATGTCATTCTGCACATATGTACATGCATTCTCACACGCACACACACACAAAGAAAAGAAAGAAATCAATGTAACATTAATAAATAGCACATCAGTTATTTTTTAAATTAGTATAAAAATAGCAAAAATGACCATCAACAAAATGGTTTGTCTACAAAAAATCTGGTTGCTGAATATAACATCAATCAGTGAAGTGACAAATTTAACCCTCTCTCTCTCTCTCTCTATATATATATATATATATATATATATATATATATATATATATATAATATAAAATATGGTAGATAGAAAGAAACTCCCTATTTAAAATTGTTAATAACTTATTAATTATTGATTGATTTTCATAAATGTGTTTTATTTTGAATAGTATAATTGTAATGGTTAAAATTTTACATAGGCACCCGAGTTATATACCATACCTATGAAGACTAATGGGCATGTCCCAATCCTCATAAATACATTGGACACTATTGTAAGTGGGGGTAATATGCTAAGTAGTTCACCGCTAGCAGTGGTTTACCTACTTCACGCCACTGGTGAGTATTGTATTTTGTTGATGTTATAAAGATTACCATTTCATTTCCAACCTCCATTTTGGTTATTCCTCATTCAGTAACCTTTTCTAGGTTACAACAATTTGTAATTGTCTGCGTATATCCTTGAACGTTTCCTGTACCTTTTGTGCATTTTCTTCTAATCTGATTGTTGAAGGATGACTGCTTCTATGGGTATCTATAACCGATCTTGTACTGGTTTAGGCATTTACTGAAACACAAACATTGTACTACCATTGTCATAAGAATTAACTTTCCTTGATTTGGACTCTTCCAGAATTATCCACGTTTTGCTGTTCTACATACAGGTCCTCTTTTAGTTGTATTCTTTGTATTCTTATTTGCTCTTAGCTCCATTATGGACTACTATGTTTATTAAAGCCTTCGTCAAGGTATCCTTTAGTTCTGTTGCTTATTACAACCATCTCTGCACTTGTACCACAGACTGCCATACTTCATAACAGGATGCTAGCTGAGCACACTCATGCTGAGTCAGTTGTTGCGCCATTCTGAATTACATTTACCACTCTGAATTAAAAACAGAAATTAACAATAAAATTCTACAACTTTAGGGATCACAATATATCTTATTTACTTATTATTTTGTGCTGCAAAATGTTGCCAGGGATACAATGAAATCTTGTTTGGCTGGCACAGACCTGGCATGCCATTGAAGATGACTTTTAAGTCCTGACAAATATTTACATATGTGTTAACAGATGTAACAAGTATAATTATCTGTCAGAATGTTTTTATGGGGTTACAACAGCTGCTGGCTCAACAGAAGACTGCTGGATTTTCATCAGATACTTGACCTTATGAGAATCTTATTACATTCTGGTCAAAATATATTTGTTTTCAGCAAGGTAATGAATTCTGGGTTGATTGTCATGTGATTGTGAAAGCATTTGAAAGAAAATTGTGATTACAAAAATTACATGGGAATAGATCATCATCATTAGCTGCAGCTATTGAGGCCAGATCATCCTCTTTTCTTGTTGCCTGTTTCAAGTGTACAAAGCTGGACACACACACACACACACACACACACATATATATATATATATATATATATATATATATATATATATATATATATAGTCTTAAGGTGTGCTATATTTATGGGATAAAGTGCTCAATATCAGAGATAGAGCGTGTGTAAATATAAAAGTGAACATAGAAGTCAACACTTAGAGGCGACAGTTTGTTTCATGCTATATGCAATTGTCAGGCCACATATGCTGTTATTTTTCTCGGCTATTTATATATATGCGGGTTAGTGGTGCATTGTGGGTATTCTATTATGGCGGTTATTTTACCGGAAGTCGTTTGTTTATTTATTTGGATCAAATTATATTGCTCATATATATATATGTCTTGTGAAGATTGTGAGAGCATGAAACTTAAGTAGTGACTTGAGTTGTGCCTCATTGAGGGTTGACACTGAAGCATTTTTTGGTCTGTCTGGATAGCTTAGGCATTGGACACTGTTATTTACTGCTTACATAGGTGTTTGCCATTTTGTTTGTTTAGCAGCATATCAACTCCTCATAGGTCATTTAATGCTGAAATTTTATTTTGTCAGGTTTGGATTTTTTTTTTTTTCAGTAATGCATTGCTGGTAAAAATCTCTCTCTCTATCTATCTATCTATCTATCTATATAAAACACTTTCTCACTCTCTCCAATACTGAAAATTTTCCCTCTTATAAATATTGTAAATGTTAAACAATATAAATATATACTGGGTGTAACAGCAAAATTGTTAGATTAAGCTTTGAACCATTGTATCTTAGAAATGGTTAAAGATATCTTACTGTAATTTTTCAAAGTTTTTATAATACTATTAGACTCTATGTTGAACAATAAAAATGTGTAACAGAAGAATCTTGATGAAATTGATCCTGAACAAAAATAAATGACGTTCATCATTAATTAATCATACCTAAGGATCAGAAGCTCATGAAGGATTGAAATAAATTTAAAATATATAATTCCTGGATGATTTTCCAATTTATTCAAGATGATTTTATCTCTCTCTAACCTAACTTTATTTCCTGGAATAACTAAGTGCCTCACAAGTTTCACATACAATTTCATTTTCAAGTTTTTTCTGTTCTTTGGACTGTCATAACTGAAACTTCTCTCTCATGTGGTGTCAAACATCTTATGGATTGAGTTGGATCTTTTCTAATTGATCTCTTTAGCTCTAAATTGAAATGATGATCCATCTTCCTGTTGTGACCTCCTGATCCAATTTTCCTTTCTACTGTTCACTCTTTTTTAAACTTAATCACCATTCTTTTGATGGTTCTTGAATGGACTTTGAAGATGTAAGCCAGAATATGAATGTTGGTAACATTACTGAAGGCCTGAATGATCTTTTCCCTCTCACCATTGCTCTGTTGGTAAGACGGTGGGGCTGACAGAAAATGATTTTAACCATTTTTCTTTCTAGCTTGAATAACTCAAAGGGTTTTTTTCAGTGATTCTTATAACAAATAGTGACATGAGGGCTAAACGTCTTATTTGAAACTCTGGAAAAAAAGAAACTCTGTTTAGTTTTTTTTAGATATTAAACATTTTTGGGAGATATATAGATGGTTGTTTGGTTGTAAAGAAACTCCCTATTTAAAATTAATAACACACCCTTTGGGTTTAACTATTAGTAAGCTTCATAACTTCTTTGGTTTAATTAATCCCTTTTAACCTATTAGTGAATGACATCTCTGAGCCATCAAGGGAGATTAGGTAAAATCTTAAGGAAACTTTATGCAGTCATGAATTTCATTAGTATTATTATTATTGAATATATGATATCCCCTGCTCCCTCAGCAAGAGAAAATCCCTCTGGCCCAAAGTGAGTAGGTAAATGAGCTTTTGAAAAAGGTATACAACTTTGAATTTTTAGTTGATTCTTCAAAATATAGAAAGTGGCTCCAAAATTTGGGCCTATAATGTGTGTATATGTATATATAAAATAATTGTGTGTGTGTATGGAGTTGTAGTTAAATGTAACAGTGGTTGCAAAGAACAGCTACTTAGAATGAAATGTGCAAAAGAACAGTATCAGTCATACATAATAATTTGACCCTTTTTATGCAAATCCATTTACATGGAATTGTTTTTTAATGGAACGTTTTTGCAACATTCTACTAAAATGAAATGCACTGTATTTAAAAAATAAATATTATGTAAGATATCATTTGTTATATAAAAGCTTACTGTTTTATAATTAGCCTCATCAACCCTGCAACATTGTTAGAACTTTGGGCTGTTGGATGATTATTGATCTACACAAGAGCTCATCACTTAAGTTGTCATGCTGAATCTAGCTGAGTTACTTTTTCGATCTCCACAAAGCAGCATCCTGCATCTTTCCCTACCCCATGTGTTACAGTCATTCCTCGGACAATTTCAATTGTATCTTTCTTCATTCCCAGGCTTGTCTCTGGTTATGCCTCAGCCTTCTTCCTACACTTTACTCTTAGTTCCATATCTCTGCCCAAACCATTTCAAAATCAATATAACCCAGAATGCATCAGGGTTCACATTCCATTTTGCTCTTACTTGATTCCTCTCTCAACTCTTTCACTCTTTGCTCTTTTCTCTTTCATCCATCTTTCTCTTCTATTTCCTCACTATCATCTGAACTCAGTCTAACAATGTTTTATCTTTTTTTTCTTATTTTAAGTGTGCATCTATACCATTTGCTTCATTTTCCTTATTTCACTTTTATTCTTACTTTCTCTCCCTCCTATTCTTTTTACTCTTCCTGTCTTCTCCTCTTCCTACTCTTCTTATTTTTCTCCTCCTCCTCCTCTTCTTACTCTTTCCTTGTTTCTCCTCCTCTTCTTGTTTCTCCTCCTCTTCCCAATCTTCTTACTTTCTACTCTTCCTATTTTCTCCACTTCTTGCTCTTCTGTTCTATTAACTTTCCTCTCACTTTTCTCTCTCTCTCTCTCTTACCTTCTGTTATATATTTTCCTCAGCCTCCTCCTATTTTCTTGCCTTTCTGTTTTAATTCATATTTCTTCGATTTCATCATTTTCTTAAATTTTACATTGCATTGCATTAATTTCTGATTACCAACAATTCCCTTTTGCCTTATTTTCAGTGTATAAGACGCATACTAACCTCCTCCCACCTTGCTCTCCTCCTCCCTCCTCCTTGCTCTCCTCCTCCCCTCCTCCTTGCTCTCCTCCTCCCTCCTCCTTGCTCTCCTCCTCCCTCCTCCTTGCTCTCCTCCTCCCTCCTCCTTGCTCCTCCTCCCTCCTCCTTGCTCTCCTCCTCCCTCCTCCTTGCTCTCCTCCTCCCTCCTCCTTGCTCTCCTCCTCCCTCCTCCTTGCTCTCCTCCTCCCTCCTCCTTGCTCTCCTCCTCCCTCCTCCTTGCTCTCCTCCCTCTTTTCTCTTTGTCTATTTTTTTCTTCCTTCCCCCTTTTTTTTTCTTCTTTTTTAATTTCTTTCTCTTCATTAAACTGTTCTCCTGGTTTTATCCTCTTTTTCTGCTTTTGCCTTCTTGCTCTTTTCAATAATTTGAAATATTTACCTTTCTTTTTTACCTTCTTATCCCATTTTCAACATGAGGGTGATAGGGTGCATTCTTCTCTCTCTCGATCACCCCCTCACCTCTATGCTACTGTCACCTCCTCCATCGCCTCGCCTTCTGGACTATCCCCTGTCAGAGATAAGTATTTGGTTCCACATGATAGCGATTCATTATTTGTATTTTAGTTTTATTAAATAAAACAAACCTTCAGCTGTATGCAAAAGATCTGATTATATACATATGATTGTCTATATGCATAGATACACAGATGTGTATATCATCAACAGTCATTACAAGTTCACTACTGGTCTTTCCTGTCACCTTCCATGACAACACTAACCTCTGTCATGCCTAACCAGTAAAACTCTCTATCTCTGCACTATATCCTGTTTTATCTTCTCTTACTATTCATTAGATCCCCTATAACCAAACTTTTGCTCCATCTGTTATTCTCCTTTTCTTGTCAATGAACATTTTTGTTCCTAAGTTACTTCAATGATATTTGTTATTTTGGTTAATTTCTGGATCAATATTGGCCTCTTTCTGTTTCTTTATTCCTAGCATTGCTCTTTGTGGTAGTCTGAGTTTTTTCAAGTGATTTCTGAGATGTAAAAAAATACAGGTGACATAAGTTATCAGTGTGTAAATCAAATTCTAATCAAAACATATTCACCTTTGTACTTAGAATTCATTTTTTCTACCCCGCTAACTACTGGTAAAATAGTGAAACAAACTGGCCACTAGAACCATAGTAGAAGGACTCACTGAATTCAAAGCCTCTACCAATATGTTATTGACCATCCTGGGAGGGTGAAGCTCATTACCTCCATTAGTCTATCAGACTAATGGAGGCCTAAAAAAAGGCAGATATGTGAAACATCAGTATGCTGAAACTTTTTTTTTTTTACACACACATATATATGATGCCTATTTTAATATTTAAACATTACTTTCATCGAGGCTTTAATCAAACTTGTAATTAATGAGGACTGCTGTGGAAATATATATGAGGGGTTACTGAAAAGTTATTAGCTCAATCAAGAAGGGAGTTCAACAAAGATTCTGGTGTTTCATCATTGTAAGAAGTGAATAGGGTCCAAAACCGTGTGTGTGCATACACACACACACACACACACACACACACACACACACATATATATATATATATATATATATATATATATATATATATATATATAATGGATTCTCCTGTCAAGTTAGACGTATGAGATTCCAATGACCACAAACTAATTATCTGCATGCCTATGAGAGGCATGACTTTTGAGACTGGCTCCAGAATTGCACAAAAGACCACAAACAGTACAGGAGAATGTATTGTAACCAAGTGCAGCAGGAACACTGTTAGATGTCTTATTTTACTTTCTCGTTTCATGCAATCGACTAATGCTTACTTCTCAGTGCAGTTATATCAATGTTGTACTTCTTTAGCTTCAATGCAACCAGAGCTGTTTTTCTTTCTGGTGCTGAGTTGTTGTCCTGGAGAGTTTGTATATTCCAAGTGCCAAGATGAAGTTGATGTTGTTTCATCGAGTTTTTTGCAGAAGCTGGATATGTGTGGAACTAATTAGATGTAGTTGTCAGAAAACAAACAAACAATGATTTGTTGCAAGTGGTGAAGGCTTGGGTTGGACCATTCACACTTTTTGGATGTGTCGATAAAAAAGTAATGGTGACAAAAGACTTGCAACAGAAACTCTGAATGACAGTCCTCATGTTTTATTATTGTGGCGTTTAACCTCTCCAGATCACAGTCAATATCAGCCAGTACACGCCTCTTGGCAGACACATGCAATATAATGACCGGGTTAAGTTGTCATGAGTTTTCCTTCCCATCTGAAGTCTTATCATGAAACCAACACTAAAAGGATTGCTAACCAAAACTCAGAGAAACTCCTTTCATCAAGAGCAGCTAGCCCATGCCAGTTCTTAACCTGGTACTTTACATAGCTCTGCGGGAATGAAATATATATATATATATATATATATATATATATATATATATATATAGAGAGAGAGAGAGAGATACTGTGTTATGTTGCATAGGTTTTTTTTTTAAGTTGACTGAAAACTTCCTGAGTAATTTGACAATAAATGGAGGTATTTTTAATCATTTATAATTGATTGGAGAAATGGGTGAGCAGAATGAAGAAAGGGTGGGAACAGCAAGTGCTTGGGGGTTACTGGAACAATCTAGAAACATTGTTCTTTGCCTCTCGCTTGGAAGAACGGTGGGTAATTTAAAGGACAAAAAGGAAATGTAAGAGGTTTAAGATGAAAGCAGAAAAGAAAAATTCTAAACAGGAATATAGAAAAAAGATTTTTAAAAAAGTCCTATCAATCTATATAATGAAGTGTTTGTTGTGTTTTTTGCTTCAGTTTTTATGATTTTTCGGGAAGAAAATAGATACTATACTTGGTATTTACTTGTCCACCCAGGATATGGCACAAGGCCAGTTTAAAGTGAGGAGCCCAAATATGTGCACATGACCAGAACCAAAAATTGCCCAGTCCCCACAACCAGTGTTGTATTGGCATTAATATTCCACCAACCTGCCCCCTTTGGTGCAATGAGAGAGGTGCTGCTGAAGGGTTGGAATCCCTGGGACCAAACATCCATCATTTATTGTGTTCTATTGAGGCAGAAACATGTGAGAGATAAAATGTCCTCCTGAAGGCAGATACTACACTTTGATCTAAATCATTTTCCAATCAGACTCAATTTAAAATATAGCAGATACTCTCCAGAGAGACTCATTGTAACATTTCTATGTGCTTCAGGCCATAGCTCTAATGGCCCTCCACATCTTCCTCTTTCTCATAGCTTTTAATAATGTTTGTTTTTTCACTCTCTCATGATCTTTTCTGCCATATTACACTTTGGTGCAAGCCATTTGCCCAGTGAAACTCATTTTAACATTTCTGTGTGCTGTGTCCTTTCAGGCTGTAGGTGATCATCGCACTCCACATCTTCCTATCTTTTGACGCTTTTAGTAAGGTTTGTCCTTTTGCTATCCCTCTGATGTCTCATTTCTAACATACTACACTTTCATCCAGGCCATTTGTCCAGTGACACTCATTTTAATATTTAATATGTTTAACAGTAGAGAACAGATACTACACTTAGATGTAAATATGTCAACATGTTATTTAATTTCCTTTCTCATTTCATAGAGGCTCAAATATGTTTGTGAATTTTTTTTATTTAGATTTTACTCTATGTTATGATAAGAGTATTTGTATATTTTTTGTCTGTAATATTTGTTCCATTATTGTTTTAAATACAAAAGGGGGAAAACTGAAGAGATCCTTCTTGCACTGGTGATAACAGGTGGCAGTATCCTTGTCATGACAATCTTAGATTGTTTAAATGAATGGTTCAATGATCTCAATGAAATGTAGAAAAGAACAGAAGTAAAAAAAAAAAAAAAAAGTGTGTGAGTTATGTGCACTCTCTTGGAAACTCTAACTATGGTTTGCTCAGCAGTTGCAGTATAAACTAAAGGTAGTGTCTAGGTATGGAACAGACACCTGCTTGTCTGTAAAAGGGATCGGCTAGCCACCCAAGCAGACAGATGTACTCAGAAACGAGTGACTGATTATTATCTTATATATATATATATATATATATATATATATATATATATATATATATATAATTGACAATGATATGAAAAATCTTGTAAAGACCAGGATTTCAAATGTTTTTCAAAGTTTTTAAAGGTGATTTTTAAACATTGGTCTATGCAGTGGCTTGACCCCTGATATCAGTAGAGTTAAAAAAAAAAAAAAAAATCTAAAAAGTTGTATTTATTATTTAAAATACAAATATTAATTATAACGTGCACACACACACGCGCACACAGACACACACAGGGTGTAGAAAAGTTCTCAAAGCAGCATACATAGCAAAATCTGACTGAATCATTAAGCATTAAATTTTTTTATTTTAATTTAATTTGGTTTTGGTTGGGCTGTGAAATTTTCAGCACCACCACCACTGACACGTGTATTTGTCTTAGGTACCATTTGTGTGTATAATTCTTGTCTGTTTGTGTATCATCATTCTAATTGCTCTATGTGGGAATTGGTTGATAATGCATGTGTGTGCATGAGTTGATTGTTAGATATTTTGATGTGGGAGAGAAAGAATTTAGAACCAGTTGTAGTTGTAGGTAGACTGATCTTAGATTCTATAAGGATGGATTTTATAAAAGTTGGTGATATAATAAAATTTGTTTGGCCTGTGTTTATTGATGGGAAAATATTCATCAAGATTCCCTCTAAGTATTTTCTACATAATAAATTAAGGAAACAATACAAAAATAAAAAAGTTTCAGAATTTTCTTTTCTCCTTCATATTTAATTTCTGCTCAAGTTTAGAAAACTGTTAAATTTATAAATGTTTTCTATTTGTTGCTAGTCCTATTATTCTAAACCATATTTGATCCCAATTCTCACACACAGACACAGAAAGAAAGAAAACTCAGACCCCCCACCACCACCACCACCACAAGTGGTTGGCTGTCAACACCTGCAGCCAAGCCAGTGAGTCTAAATACTGTATTCCTTTGGTATGGCCAAGAGATGGGCAAGCATGTTGTCTGGGCAGCACGAAGCCTCTATACGGCATAACCCAAGCCTGTTCCCTGGAGATGTTGCTCCAGTCTCACCACCAGTTTTTATGAAACAGGGTGCTACACAGAGACACACACACACACACACACACATATATGAAAGTAGAGAATGTTAAATGAGAAAAGGATAAAAAGAAATATGACAAAATTAGATGAAAAATACAAGGGAATAAGTAATGATTGTAAGAGAAATCAAACATAAGGAAGAAGTGACAAAAAAAGAAAAAAAAGCATAGGAAAATAGAAGCAATTTAACAATGAAGTAGCAAAATACAAAGAAAATCAGAATATAAAAAAATGAAAACTTTTCAGCCTCAGCTTCTAAACAATTCTTAGATAATAAGATTATTATTACAACAAACTTTGTCATTCTTTTTTTTCTTCTCGTATTTGTTGCAGTCATTGGCAGAAAGACTAATTGAATGAATGTAATTAAGAAAATTGACAAATTACAATAAGGGAGCAAGGTAAATGAAAATATATATATATATATATATATATATATATATATATGATATACATATATATAC